TGACGTCAGCACCCCCGCACGCGCGCGCCGGGGAGGGGCCGGGGGCGCCCCGCCTGCCCGCCCGGTCCCGGCGCTGCGCTGCCTAATCAGGTTCCGTTTGCCCGGAGCGGAGCCGCTGCGGCAGGGGTAACGGGCCCGCCCGATACTCTCCCCGGAAGTTGGGAGGACGTTGGCTGTGGCCGATGGGTCTTAGGGTTCTTGGGGCAGCGCGGAGGGGCTGTCGCGGAGGGGCTTGGCGTCCCACCAAGACGCCTCAAAGCGTTCCTGTCAGGGCAGCAGAATTATGCCTCAGTAGTTTCTACAATCCCAGCAAGGAGAGGCAAAAATTTAAAAAAACAATAAATTCAACAAAAAAACTACACAATGTTGCTCTCTTTTAATCCATTTATTGGAGCACCAGGATTCTTCTCCAGGTTCAGGAATGGAAAAGCAGGCACTGGGGGAGCCCAATAAATAAAGCTACCTTTATTGCTTCAAACAGAAATCGTAGCACTGAAACGAGGGAGGACCCCCTCTCCCCCATTCTTTCAGGGAAAAGGCCGGCCAACAGCGACCTCCAGGGGAGGAAGGAGCTCCGTCCCTGCCCCAAAGCAGCCCTCCTGCTGCTCAGCGCATTCTCGGCCAAGGACCAAGGAGGCAGGACTCGCAGGGCTCCAAAGGCCCCCACCTGGAAAATTCATCCTCTTCCCTTGGAGGAAGCATGAGCCTCCAGAGGGCAGAAGTCAAATCCTCCTTGGGAGCTCCATCAAATGCCCAGCTCTGCCACACTTCCACACCAAGGATCAGAGGCCAAACAGAGATCTCATTAATTCTGGGGAAGGGAGGAGACAAGGCTGTTGGTTCACCGGGTCTGCCAACCCCCCCGCCCCTTTCAGGGGGATCAGGCAGCCCTGCCAGAATCCTGGACTGCCAGGTGGTTCAAGCTGCTTACCGCCGAAGTCACCAGGAGGTTGGATCCAATTTCTTCCTCAACCAATCCTGCCTCTGGGCAGCCCCCCCACGACCCAAATGGCCCACCTCCGATTTGAGGGAAGGGCTTCTACTCACCTGGCTTGTCCATGCTCTGGTGCACCAAGCCCATCATATCCTCTGGCAGCGCCTGGGCCTCCTCCTGAAACTTCCGCCGGCCCTCCGTGGTTAACTTCCACAGTCGGGACTTGCGGTTCCCTTCAAGGCACACGAAGTCTGTCGTCTTCTCAAAACTGCTGCTGAAGCAGAGGTTGTGCCGGACAGTGTTTTTCCAGCCCTCTGGAGCCGTGCGGAAGAAGGGGAAATGGTGCCTGTCGAGAGGGCAAAGGGGCAGAGTGCCAGCAGCCCAGGAAGCATGCCCCCCCAGGACCAGGTTAGGTGCCCACACCCATCCCTGCAGAACGGCTCACCGTGCCCCCACCGGGTCATCCACAACTGTGCCAAACTAGAATACTCACCCCTGGGGGAGCAGGAAGCCCTCAGCCACAAGGGTACCAAGAGCACAGAGGGCGAGGAGGGGTTCGGGTTAGGGTCCCCCTCCCGGCACTCTGCTGTTTTGCCCGAGCACCTCTCTGCTGTGAGAGCTGTACCTGGTGAACTTGTAGATCTCCTGCACAGTCAGGCTGCTGTCCACGCTGCTGCTCAGGGCAAGGCTAATCAGGATACAGTAATTGAGAGGTGGGCGAGGCCAGCCCCCCTGGGCCCGCTTCAACTTCCTGCTGCGGGACCGGAACACCTTTACGTTCCGGCATGCCTGGGGGGAGCTCTGGGAGTCCTCTTTCGGAAGCATTATGGGTTTGGCTTCAGTGACATTCCCAGCATCCTGGCAAAAGACGGGCACATTCGAGCCAATGGGAAGGAAGGGGAGGAGAGGGGCCAGCAGAAAGAGGAAGCGACCTTGGGGGCTATGGGGCTGGGTACCATAGGACAGCCTATGGGGAGGGGCTGGGTGTGCCCCTCAGTCTCGCTTCTTCCCATTTCTGTGTTTCAGCGACACTTTATGGCGAGGGAAAGGGGATGTCCGGTTTTCAAACTGATTGACAATCTGCAGGGGTCCACAACGAAAGAAGCTCTGCAAAGCTGGAAAACCTATGAGTCGCCCCCCCCCGCCTAAAGATTCCAAGCCCCGCCCTGCAAGCGGGAAGATC